TGTGGTGATTTGTGATAGCAGCAACAGGGAACTAATACACTGAGGTCATGGGAGACAGTCTTTTTCAGAAGGGGAAATGTACAAGGGGAGCCAGGCAGTCTGGGCAGAGACGGGTGGAGGTCAGAGGAGTTGAGGCGGGAAGGGACAGGTGCTTCATTCTTCCAGCAGAGCAGAGATGGAGCCAGGTGTCTAACCCGCCCTGGCAGCTGGCCCAGCCCTCCTCTGTGGCTCCTGACTCCCACTCCCTCTCGTGCTTTCATCACCTACTTCTTTAAGGGTTAAAAGCCAGCAGGCCAGTAAGGAACTTATTTGCAAGGCATCTACAAGTGATGTCTACCAATCCACGGCAAGTAGAGTGAGTGCCTAGGACCACAGGGGCCCCGCAGGCCTCCTATCCAGCTTCTGCATCAGCTGCACTGCCTGGACTTCCTGGCACTCTGGTCTAAGACTCTGAACAGGAGTCAAGTAAGGGGCTCACATAGTGGGCATGTGCTCCCTGACTGGTTCTTCTCAAAGATGCCTACCGTGTTTTGTAGACTCACTAAACCCAAAGGGCAGTAATTCCCCTTCCTTCCCCGCCAGCCCAGAATTTTTAAGAGTTTCAAATGCCATGTCAATATCTGTTAGGTTGCACAAATATCTTCAGGCAGGAATCAAGTAGTTACACCGATCAAGACACCATGGAATCTTTGGTGCAAAACTTTTGGCATTTGCTGTGACTTGATGAAAATAAATCTGAAAACTGTTTCCATTCTAAGCTGATACACTACGCTGGATTTGCTTTCTTCAACACAACTGATCACAAAGAGGTAGACAGAGTTTGCAGAGCTGCAGAAATGGAATCTACAAACATTACAGAAGAACAGAGGCCATGTTATACAGACACAGAAATGCCCTGGAGCCAGAATCAGGCGTTCAAGCTGACCAGCTGACATTGAATATGGAACAACGTTACATCTACTCTTTCAGGCCCAAAGTTCCACTGCACAAGCATACCCCGGAGACAGTCCCTCCCTTGTGTATCCCAAAAGCAGATGTCATAAATGGAAACCTTCGCTTCTAAGTGGAAACAGTGACAGCCAAATGTTCCCCAAGACCGACAGTGGGAAAACCAACCTGGAAGGTTCTGATTCCCCTGTAGGCTGTACTGCTTGCCTCTGGAAAGCGAGGAGGGAAGACTGTTCCATGCGGTGAAACCGACTGTGACAAGGGAACAGCCTCAGGGAAAGAGGCAGGATAAACAGGACCCCAGGACCTGCTCAGCTGGTGACTCGAAATGCACCAGAGTGACTCTAAAGGCCCTCTGGGGCTATGATATGGGATCATTGCCTTTGGTGCAGTCATAATCAAGTGAATGCCTCCTGGACTCAGAAGCCCAAGAGCTGAGGGACCAGAAACCTGAACAAATATAAAGGTGAAACCCTCAAGCAGGATTTGGTATATTCAAATCCTAATCCCTGGAACCTGGTAAGTGAAGGTTCCTCATATATAACTTGTGAATGCTGCCTTATAGATAAAAATGTGTGATTCAGTTAGGATCTCGAGGGGGGAGATTACTGCGGATTATCCAAGTGGGCCCTAAATGCATGTGTGTCCTTATAAGGGAGAAGAGGAAGATCTGGCACACACGGAACAGGAGGTGATGTGAAGATGGCACAGGGCAAGACCCTGGCCTAGGAGTTATGCACCCACAGCCAAGGAATGCCAGGGGCCACAGAAAGCTGGAAGAGGAGAGGCCTGGGCTTCTCCCTAAGGATTCCAGAGGGAACACAGCCTGCCAACACTTCAGTTTGTCCCAGTGGTACTGACTTCAGACTTTGGGCTGTACAGTTGTGACAGACTAAGTTTCTTTTGCTTTTTAGCACAGGTTTGTGGTGGTTTATTATAACTGCCAAGGAAACCAATACAAAGGTCAATAGAATTTTCCCTGCCTTTTTCATTTTGCCAACATCCACCAAAATGACCTAGATAGTGCTAGGGACTGTGAAGGGTGGAAAAGGCTTAGAAAGTCCCACTGAAGGCCTCATTCACAAAAAGAATTGTGAGTGTGTTAGGAGCTGGAAGGGAGCAGAGGACAGTGGCTAATGGGCCATAAAGCCCAGAGGAGGCCACATCAGAAGGCTTTGTGGGGCAGATGATGTTTGCCTCCACCTTGAAGGGGAAGGCTGGGCACCAGCGGTCAAGCAGGGCAGTGATCTAATCAAAGGCACAGAACAAGGAAGGCCACTGACTGTTAAGAGCCCACGGTGTGCTGAGGACTAGTGGATGGTCAGGGAGGGTGAAGACTGGGACAGAGAGCAGGAAAGATAAGCTGAGGCGAGGCTGCAGAGATGCCTGAGGACCCCCGCTCTGCTGAAAGGGATCCCTCTCCGTGTTGGAGTGGTAACTGCAAAGACAGGGTGCACAGGCTGCCCAAGAAACAGGAATTTGGAAATATGCTGGAAGTAAGAGTCTCAGAGACACGAAAACACTGGCTTGGACACTGAAGGCTGTGCTGCTGACCTCAGATTCCTATCCCTGACACTGGCTGAGCACTGAGGGAGGGGAAGGGCAGAGAAAACAAAACAAGCAGGTCAACAAGAGAGAAAAGAGGGTGCAGAGGGAGAGATGCAGAGAAAGAAAGAATGCAGGCAGAGAAGAAGTCAGGGGCTCTTGGGCAGCAGGATCTCCTGCCAAAATTACTGTTTTCTTTCCTCCACATTGTGCGGCTTTCCTCTGTGCCAGGAGACAGAGTCCCAAGGGGCCTTGTGGTTGTCCCTGTCCAACTGATGCCAGCAGACTTGATTAGGCTGTACCTTTGCTCAGTCCTGTGATTCCCGCTGCCACCATTACTGGACAAGGAGCAGCCATCAGTTGCCGCTGGGGGTTTGGGCAGCCCACAGCCACTTATATGTGGAGCCTGGTAATTAAGGCTTGAGAAATCACGGGGCCAGAGGGCAGGCTTTGTTTGGATAAACTCTAGAAAGTTCAGCTGCTTCTCTGAACTTGGCCTCCTGGAAGTTTGCAGCAGGGAGCTGAGAGGGCAGCCAGGTGGCCTCAGCTTCACCTGCTTATGTGCCCTTGGGACCAGGCCTGGTGCTACTGCTGCCTCCCCTTTTATCATCACTGAGAAGTAAAAGTTGACAGACTCAGAAAGCACACAGGCAGCACAGCACAAAGCAAGGAATGCCTGACCGGGGTCCAGTCCTCTGCCTGCAAGCTGTGAAGCCTGGGGCAGTTCCCTGACCTCTCTGAGCCTTAGACCTTTGAGAAATGGGGACTGAGCTCAATCTTGAGCTTTTCATGGAGTTGTTACATAAAAGGTTCAAGGGAAAGCACTCGCATTATAGGAAAAGCTACATAAAAATGGAGGCTCATTCAAGACTATGGCCTGAGATCTAAATCACTAAGGGTTAAGTGGGGTGGGTGGTGGTAGTGGTGGTATGTAGCTGAGGAAGGATGGTGGGTGACCCCTCATCTCTGCCTCCTTGTGCACAGTATTTCCCTGGGATCTACCATGGACACCCCCACGCAGCAGCAGAAAAAGCAGAGGTTTTGCAGGTGAACCTGGCAGGCCTCCATGGCATTGGCAAGGCCCATGGCAAGAGTACACACAGAGGCCATTTACCATATGTCTCATATCTAAAAGTCATACATCAAGCTAACAAACCGTTAAATGAAATACGCTCCATCCTCCTACCTTGTTAAATCCATCTTTGACACAACTTGGAGGGCTAGGATAGAATTTAGAACGCTGGGACTCCTTGGTGTTCTGTGCCAGGCTGTGCTGCCCGGGGCAGTGCACTCCATCCATAATCTGACCACTGTGTGCACCCCCCGACTCCACTGACCACCATGCAGGGACTTGCATACCTGTGACGCACCCATCCCTCACATCCCGGCTCTCTCCACATGCTGAGATACTAAGAGCCAGGCTCGGGCCCAAGGGTGCACACCAGTGACATGGGCTATCCTTGGAGGGTGACCCTGAAGAAGAGGCTGGAAGAGGCTCAGCCCGATGGGCTGACAGTAAGATTATAAGCATGTCCCCTTGGGCCTGCAGGCTCTCCCTGGTCCTTGGGGTGAGGGGGACACTACCCAGCGGGGTCAGGGCAGGGCCCCCTAAGGAATGGCTCCCAGAGAGAGGGCTCTTTCTTGCCTGGTCCTGCCTGACTCCCCTACCTCCTACTTCCTGGGCAGCCCCTACTTCCTGAGCTGTTATGAGGCTCCAAAGAGAAAGTGGTTGGGGACAGGGGAAAGGGGAGGGTCTTAAAGTGTCTAGACCCCCCAGGTATTGGAAAGTATGGTGTGGTCCCTTCAAAGGACACCAAGCAAGAGGCAACCCTTCCCGGTAAAGGAAGAACAACATCTAACAAAGCCTTGATCTTTCTTGATGTTTTGAAAAAAGTCTTTCAAACAAAGGATACTTCGAGTAATGCTGCCATGGTAATGCTGTTAACACAAAGAGAGCCAGTACCACGAGGACCGGACACGTGGCTCTCTTTCTAAATGCCTTAAAACTGATGCTTCACTACCTAGAGGGAATTGGGTTTCAGTGGTTCTCAGTTTAGAATCAAATGACAAACTCACCACCTTCCACCCTGTCTGTCTTGAACACAGAAGTGAGATGGCTGAAAGCCCCTCAGGGCTTCTGCTGACTTGAGTCACAGTCAGGAGGGAGGGGAGGAGAAAGGAAGAAAGGAAAGAGGGAGGGAAAGCTGGTGACACCTCCCCTGTAAGCTGGCCCTGCATGCCTCTGTGATCTGACTCCATGTGGCCAGCGAGGAGCTGCCTGAGTGACAGCCTGGGACCCCTCTCTCATGTCCTCCCCAGTGCTGTGGTCCCTGCTGTTCAGGTCCCACTGCACAGCCAGCTGCAGGAAAGAGACTGAGCCAGACCTCCACCTGATTTATTCAGGCCCGCTTCTCAGAAGCATAGAGGTCACCGGGCTGTTGGCCGGATACTCCACTCTGAATCCCCGTCCTCTGCCTGCTGTGGAGACGCCGACAGTGCAAACTCACCAGGCACCATCCCTGTCAGCGTAGGCGCTGAGTAGCTGCCCTGTCCGGCGGGGGGGACGTGCGGAGGGTACCCGGGGAGGGTCGTGCTTGCCAAGTCGCGGCCTAAGGAATCAAAGCAACAAATCACAGGGTGAGTATCTCTGAGGCATGCCGCTTGCCCACAGCTCCCCGACATGTCTGTACATTTGTCACGTCCGGACGCTGAACACCAGTATGCCCCCGTCCCTGCCCCACTGCTCACGCAAGCCTGTGCTCATACACACATCGCCAGGCCCTGGCTCCACTCACTGAGAATCGAGCCAGGGCTCTAGCTTGAACTGGGAATGTGGGACAGCAGAGGTCCTAGCATATGCCAGGACTCTCTCCTCCCCGCCACAAAGATGTTTCTGCTGGGCTCTCTGACAGTGTCCTTCCTCCAGCCGCACCTAAAAGCATCATCTTCACAGACCTGCCTCCTCGACAGCCCACAGTGGGGAGGGGCATCCCTGACTCAGACCCTCTGCCTCCATACTTGGCCCCTCACACCCTCACAGATCCTTCCTTGGCCCAGAACTGTTCCCTTGTGTTTTTTTTGTTTTTGTTTTGGTACCGGGGATCGAACTCAGGCCCTTGCGCTTGCAAGGCAGGCAGCAGAACCACTGAGCTAAATCCCCGGCCCAACTGTTCCCTTGTTTAGTGAAGAAGCAGGAAGCAGAGGCTCCTCCCTCTGTCTGCTCTCCAGCTCCTTGGCTTTGGACTAGGCTCGTGTCCTCACATGAGGCATTTTAGAGGGGAGCAAATGCCCCAGGATTTACCTCTGGGAGCCCTCAGCTCCCCCAAGTGACCAGCATCCATTGGAGCTGTTACTTCTCGTGAGAAGCAGGATTCAACAGGAAACCCATACTGTCAGAACTGACCTTGCTCATAAGGTGAGTTAAGGAAGTTTGCCTGACTAGCCCTCCTGTCCTCCCTCCTCATCTTCTGCAACCCAAACCCACAGCCACTGGTGGCAGCTGCTTCTCTCTAGAGAACAGGTCTTTGTACTCCACAGCTAAAATGCCATAGGCCTCAGAGATTTGCTAAGTGAACAGAAGTGGCCCTGCTAGAGAAGCAGGAGCTTTGGGAGCCTCAAACTGTTCCCTTCATCCGTGATCAGGAACCAGTGCAAAAAGTGCCAGAGGAGAGCTGGGGATTAAGCTCACTGGCTCTGGTGCCTGCCCCGCAGATGCAAGGACTCGAGTTGGATCCCTGGTGCCAAAAAAAAAAAAAAAAAAAAAAAAAAAAAAAAAAAAAAAAAAAAAAAAAAAAAAAAAAAAAAAAAAAAAAAAAAAAAAAAAAAAAAAAAAAAAAAAAAAAAAAAAAAAAAAAAAAAAAAAAAAAAAAAAAAAAAAAAAAAAAAAAAAAAAAAAAAAAAAAAAAAAAAAAAAAAAAAAAAAAAAAAAAGTGCCAGAGGAGCTCTCGCCTACACCATCCCTCTTGCCATTTGACAGATGGGAAAACTGAGACCTAAAGGTGAAGAGGGGAGTGATTGGCTCAGGTCCCATAGGGACAGAGGGCAGAGCAGGTGCCTCAGCCCAAGTTTCCTAACATCAGCCAGACCCTCCTCCACCTCTAGAAGCACCATGGTGGTGCGATGGGGAGCACTCAGGTGCACAGCCTTCTTCAGAGCAGTTGCAGAGAGTCAGGGATCTTGGGGCTGCTGAAAAGGTGTCTGCACAAACAGACGAAGCCCAAGTCTGACCACTGTAATACTTGAGATGTCAGTGGCTAGACTGTGAGACAGAGAAAAATGACAGCCAATGGCAGGGGCTGCTTTGATGAGCTGCTCCTCCACCAGTCAGGGGGCATCTTCCACCCTGGCCCCATTCCCAGGCTCACATCACTGATGATGACAACGACTACGAATGATGCACACTTACACAGAAACTGTAAAACACCGGACCCAGCTCTAAGTATTTTCAGTGGTTAACACCCTTAAACCTCAACAACCTGGTCAGGTGAGATGCTGATACTATTTTCCCTTTACAAGAAATTAAGACTTGTTCAAGGCTGCATACTACCTGTTAAAGATTCAAAACCAAGCAATCCAATGTCAAAGCCACGTGTTTTGGGGCTGGGATTTAGCTCAGGGGCACCCTGCCTACCTCGGAAGCACAAGTTTGATCCCCAGCACCAAAACAAACAAACAACCAAAGCCACGTGGTTTGCCACTCCATTCTACTTCCTGTGTGTGGTACTGTCTCAGCTGTGCTCCCGAGTCCAGAGGCTCCACTGCCTCTCAGCTGGGACACTGCCATCATGACTCATTGGAGCCATCTTGCAGAACAAACTCAACTGCAAGATTTTATGGGTGAGTGCCTTATGGTGGAGGCCAAGATACAAGAGGGGAATATAGACTGCCTGATCGGAGATGGAGGGCGTTACCCCAAGGGAGCTGCAGGGGCTCATGCAGGGGCCCATACACTTCCAGCTGCCCATCAGGGAGAAGATGGCCTTGGAAAGGCAGGGGACTTGTCTGGGGAAGCTGAGCTGATCTAAGGCAAGGCTGGGCCTGGCAGCCAGCTCTCCTGCTCCCTGGTAAAAGGTCCTTCTTTCAATAAGGCCTGCCCTTTTGGCCATGTTTGGTCAACAGTTTCTGCTGCTGTTACACAGTCCTTAAAACCTTGATCCCTCGAGCAAAGGTTCTGAAAATCAGAGCCTCACTGAAGCACTCAACTTAGAAAGCTATATAAAAAAGCAATAAAATGAATCTAGGGAAAGGAAGAGGAAGAAATCGATAAAGCAAAAAATAATGAATTAGGAAACAAAAAAGCAGACAGACAGTAAGTATGACCAAGACTTGTTATTTGAAAAGACCAATAAAACAGATAAACATAGATCAAGATTTTTTAAAAGATTTTTAAACTATCAAGATAAAAAATGAGACTATATAACCAGAAATATAGATGAGACAATATTAAAAAGAAGAGGAAAATGTACTCTACACCAGTAAATGTAGAAATCTCCACAGAAAGTGGTGTAATTTTTTGGGAAAATATAAGTTATCAAAATTAATTCAAGAACAAGTAAAAAAGAAAGAAAGAAAGAAAGAAAAAGGATGCTAGAACAACAGTCTAACAGCCTTGAAGAAAGTGGAAAAAATGCCTTTAAAAATAAGTGCCTTTAGCTGGGGATGTAGTTCAGTGGTACTGTGTCTGTCTTGCAAGTGCAAGGTCCTGAGTTCAATCCCTGGTACCAGGAAAACAAAAAAAAAAGTGCCTCACTAGTTTAGCTGCTTGGGTAAGTTTTTTATTGTTTTTGTCTGGGGCAAAATCTTTATGGGTCACATACTCTTGTTATTAAACTGTTCTAGGGAATATAAATCCAAGAAACTCTTCCTAATTCATTTCACCAAGCTAACATAATCTTGATATAAAAACTGTCTACCTATGTTGCAAACCCAGACGCACACCCTTGTAAAAATTAAACAAAAACTGGTCAAAGACTTAAATATAAGCACTAAAACTATAAAACTCTTAGAAGGAAAAATAAACATAAATATTCACAACTTTGGATTAGGCAGTGGTTTCTTAAATATGACAACAAAAGAAAAAGAAACTGAATGAACTTCATCAAAATGAAAAACTTTTGTGTTTCAAAGAACACCATTAAGAAAGTAAAAAGATGACCCACAAAATAGAAGAAAATATTTGCAAATCATGTATCTGATAAAAAACCTGCAACTAGAATATATAAAGAACTTATAGCTTAATAATAAAAGACCAATTTAAAAATAAACCAGTTTAAAATGAGCAAAGGATCTTAATAGGCATTTGTTTAAAGAAGAAAGAATATATGAAATGGTCAGCAAGTACAAGAAAAGATGTTCAGTATCATCAATCATTAGGGAAATACAAATCAAAACCATAATGAAACATCACTTCACATTCACTACAATGGTTATACTAAAAAGACAGATTAGAAAAAATCTTTGGCAAAGATGAGAAAAATTGGGACTCTAATACATTCCTGAGGGGAATATAAAATGATGAAACCACTTTGGAAATGTGTGGTAGCTTCTCAAAAGATGAAATGTAGAGTTATCATAAGACCCAGCATTTTTACTCCTGCGTGTATCTTGAGAGAAATGAGACCAAATGTTCACACAAAACCTCATACACCAATGTTCACAGAAGCTTTATTCATAATAGCCAAGTAGTGGAGGCAACTGAAGTATCTATCATCTTGTAAATGGATAAAGAAAGCGTGGTATATTCAAACATTAAGATATTTGGCAATACAAAGGAATGACATATCAATACATGCTACTACGTGGGATGATTATGCTGAGTTAAAAATGCCAGTCACACATGGCGACGTGATGTAGGAATCATTTCATGTAAAGTATCCAGAACAGGCAAATCTTCAGGGACTGAAAGTAGACTAGTGGTTGCCAGGGGTGGACGTGGGATCCTTTGAGGTATGTTATGAAGTATGCTAAACTATCACTGTGGTGATGGTTGCACAAATTGTGATTATACTAATAACCACTGAATTATATGTGCACTTGAGAAGGGTGAATTTTATGGTATATGAACTGTATCTCAATAATTCTACTACTTTAGAAATTGTCATCTATTATCACCATCGTCTTGAAAAAGAAATGGCAATCTGACACCAAAAATAGTGAAAGGGTATATTAGTAAACATTATTCATTTATTTATTTTTGGTACAGGGGATTGAACTTGGGTCCTTGCGCTTGCAAGGCAGGCCACCTAACCACTGAGCTAAATCCCCAGCCCATAAACATTATGTTTTTAAGCCAAATAAGTTTATTTTTATAAGAAAAAAGATGTAATAAAAGAAACAAATTCATATATAACAAAAAATTGGCTGCTAAAAATAGCACAGAAGCAAAGTCAAATGAAAACAAATAGGGAGAAATTTTTGCAGCATATACCGTAATAAAAGATTATTATCCCCATTTATCAAGAAATTGTAAAAATTGAAGGGAAAAGACCAGAAATAATCCCATAGAAAAATGGACAAAGTATGTGAACATAAACTCCCCCTCCGTCTATATATACAGAGTCCACCAAAAAATGTATACACACTTCAAGAAAAGGAAAATAGTATGATGTTT